TGAACTCCAGCAGTTAATTTAAATTCCACTTAGTTCTAGCCCAATGAAGAGCCTCAACCAAATAGACCTTTGCTGTCAACAATTTTTTTAATGGTTTGGATGCTTGATAATACGAGGCAAGTTCATTAAGAAAAAAAACTGTTAGTAGTGAGGGTTTGGGGGTTCTTACAGGAAGGAGGACCTGGTCTTCCAGGTTCCTTGGCCTTTCAAGACTGAAGTGTGAAATAATAATAACTACTTAGATGTAACATTTCCATCACTTGCACCTGCAATTATTTTTGACCTCAGAAGGGTAGGCACAGCTCAGGAATTTAAAAGAGCTGCTGCTATAAAGGCAGGCACTGCAATGAAGAATTCTCAAGCAGTTTACTGAACTCCATCATGTAGCTGCCTCTCCTAAACAACGTAGAAAACCAGCCTGAGCGTAAAGTGTTTCTAAGGAATCATCTTCTCTGTCACTGGTTATATAGGTCACATAAGCACTAACACTCTGCCTAAGAAAGCAAAAGCATAGAGAATTACTCATGCTATATCTAGAAAGCACAAAGTTAAATGTTATCTAAAGGAAAGGTAAATATTGGAACTGTCAGGGTTTGGAGTTTTCTTAAATTTGTTTGATGCACCATTTTTTTTTTCCTTAAGCCATAAAGCATCGATTCATGAAGAAAAATTGTGGGAAGATACCAGTGATGATCATGAAGCTTCAGTCAAGTTTCTTCGTTCCAGGAGAAGCTTTTTTCCACAAAAAGACAGTCACACACGGTCTCGCTTGCTCCCTGGCTTGGACCGTGTACTCATGTGGAAAGCAGGGGAGTTATATTAGCATTTTTCTTCTCAGGAGAATATCCAGATCACCAAGCTACTGCCACGTTGCTCATTCCTGATCTCCTTCACCGGAACTTCAGCCACTTTGTACAGATTGCCAGTGAGAAAATGACCCGGCCGTTCAGCGGCCATGCACACCTGAATTACCTTGCAACAATACCTTGTTCAAGCCCCAATTCAAACAACTGTAATAATTCGAAAAGTTGATTTAGGTCAAAGTGGACGATTCCTCTAAGAAGAGTAAAGACCGTCACTCAGCAGTGCGAGGTGATCAAATAAGGCCAGAAGCCAGACCTCACGCATCCCTGGAGAGGGCCCTAAGGCGGCTCTTTGCAGCGGAATGCTCTCTCCCTTCGAAATTGCAGAGGTACTCAACTCGGGGTGAAAAGGAAAGGGTTTTGACCTGCAAGTTTTTCAAGAAGGAAACAGTTTCTTCCCAGCTCTAGTAAAAATTTAATCCGGCTGCTCAAAGAATTACCAAATCGCATCAGTAACCTGATACCTGATCCTATCTTATTCTTTGCATTTTGCTGTGCAGCTCTTGGCTCGATTTCAGGCCCGCCATTTACATCCTGCATTCGCAAACAATCCCTACAGATTCAGTCCGGGTACAGTACATTTTCTACCTTCCACCGCCAGGCAGTATCAATATAGACTGTTAGGCAATTCTTGTGGCTGCAGTTCAGTGCCGTGTAGAGCAATCCATGTCTGTCATTTGTAAGCCACCTGGGGATCCTTAGAGATGAAAAGCACAGCGTGAATTGAAAATATTTATTATTATTGCTGTAAACAGACCAGGGTATCCATGGTAACATTTAATTTGTCAACACCTAAAACAGCAGTTACTTTAATATTTTCCCTTTACTTTTCAATCTGCAGAAGAGTTTGCATGTTTTCGGGAAGTCTATTTTAACCTGAGACCATATCAAATTAAACCAAATATCTATCCAATCTGCCATCCTCCAACACACATGCTAGAGGAAGTTGTGAAAAAGCAGCCACCTATAACAAACAGAATTGCAACACCGTCTTCCTATCCCTAGGCAGTCTGTTTCTGCCCTGCAGTATAAATAGGCATATTATTTATGTAAATTTGTCTTAGCAAGACTGAAAGATTTTTAATTGCAGTTTACACCCAAACACTTTCCCAAGCATAAACTTTGAAAAAATCAATTGGATGGAGAAATACTTCTATGGACCAGCTCAAAGGCATGACTTGTCGTTTCAGTCCTATACCCTCTGGCTCTTGTAGTACGAGAAAGGGAAAATAAAAGCATTAAGTAAAATCCTAGCCCCGTGGAAGTCAAGGACAAAACTCCCACTCACTTCAGCAGGGCTGGAGCTCTATCCTCCTGGTTTTCCATACTTGTACTCCTGTTGACTCAGTTCCTAACACAATCAAGTTTCACAGGAGCAGTGATGAATTTAGACCTCAGGCATCCATATGTTTTTGTAGTACCTGTTACTGAAGTTAGAAGAATTAGGATCTCTGAATTTTTATCTTTTCAGAAATGTCTTGGGTATCCTAAATCAACAGATGGCGTGAATATTAAAGTAAAAAAAAAAAAAATGCAGCCCTACTGGGTCAGACCAAAGGTGCACTGAGTCCAGTGTCTTATATCCAGCTCTGTATTGTATCTCCATCATTGCCCAAAATAGATGCTAAAAAATTGATAAAGATGCTAAAAATGATCAAGAACGAGGCAGGCTGTGGTGATACTAGATACCCAACTGCCACCAGCCCGGGTACTTCCTGAGCCAGCTGTGCTTTCTGTGTGTTCATAAACAGTCAGAAGTTTCCTGTTCAATCAGCTTAAACCTTCAGCACCCTCAGCATCCTTTGGCAGGGAGGTCCACAGCTTAACTAAACATTACATGAAGACTTCTGGCTTTTTTTGTTGTTGTTTTGAACCTTTCTCCTCCTCACTACGTGGGTGCTCTTTAGCCTAATACTCACTTCGATAACATTATCGACTCTGAAGCCTTCTGGCTATGAATCCAAAGGTGAGGAGTGGTTACATGGGTGGCAGAGGGGTCCCCCAGCATGTAGGATTTCTAGTGGTAAGGAACCCCTGAGACTGTGGGTTCTGGTGAGAGGGGACCACGGAAACACCAGGCAGGTCCTGCCTTTGAAAACATTGTTTAGAACACCTTATTTCCACAAACTTCAATAATTTTACAAGCAGATATTTTTCAGAGCAGTTCTAGAGGGCTCTCCCATCACTGGTGTCAGTGTCACCTGAAAACGTTTAAAATCCCAAAGAACTCAGCACTTTTCAGGACTGGCCATGATACACCAAGAATTGATAAATCTCTTAAGAAAATATCATCCAGCTTCAGAGAAGCAAGTAAGCTGAAATCCCCCAAGGTGCTTGGTGTATTTCTTGCAAGCAACTGTGCAGTTCTGTACTGTGGGTTGCTTTTGGAGAGATGGCATTCATTCCCAAAAGCTTCTTTGTTTCACTGTTTCCTCGAAGTACTCCACCTGCATGTTATGATGATCTTATCAGACGTTATCACCGTCAGGAATATCCACTACTTTTAAGATATTTTTAGGCATGACAGCCAGAAGGCAATATGACTTTTTAATGCTTGGCTGTTCTGATGCTTTTTGCTTGCTTCAAGCTTTACCGTTTTCTCCCTTACCAAACACTGACAAAAGGAACAGTCTCCAGTGTGCTGGAGCATTGTCTTGGTTTATGCTATTTTATATTTCCCAACGTACACTTACATTTTGTGTTAAGGGGACTT